CCTTCATCGATGCCGGTACCCACTTCGTGTGGGCCGTAAACGTAAGCAACCGTTATCTTGCCTACCAATGCTTCGAGATCTGGCTAAGCATGGCGGAGACACAGAGCGACGGACAGAAGCTGAAAGCATTTCAGGCAGACGGAGCCCTGGAGTATCAGACGGAGGAGTTCAAAACCCTCTGCAAGCAGAAGGGAATCAAGAGGATGATTTCCCTCCCCTACGCTCACGAGCAGCAGGGATTGGCTGAGCGCACCAACAGGAGCCTCGCGATAAAGATGCGAGCTCTCATGAAGCAGTCGGTTGTGCCAACCAAATATTGGCCCTTTGTGATGGTGCATGCAGTTCAACTGCACAACATGCTTTCTTCGAAAGCACTGCCCAACAACACCTCACCCTTTAAGGAGTGGACCGGAAAACACCCTGACACACGCATGCTGAGGGTCTTCGGGTGCATGGTACAGTACCGCCCCCACACTGCCCGGACCGGAAAATTCGAAGACCGCGCCCGCTGGGGCATTCACCTCGGAATCGAATCCGAATACCACGCCTGGACAATCCTGGACTTCGCCAGCCACCAGCTCACGGGTTCACGTGACTACATCTTCTACGAAAGTCTGACTCTACCACTGTACCGCCAGCATCACACTGCACAAAACGCACCGGACAACATTTTTCAGGGACAGCACAGCTACGCAAATGACTAGGACGACGTCGACGTGGCAGGAGAACAGCCAGACACGGCAACTGGGGACGAGGCACCCTTCGTACCCGTTACGGAGGAATTCGGGACAGCCACATTCTTCCCAACGGAGACCGATAATCACGAAGCAGTACAGGCACAGCACGACTACGCAAGTGCAGAAATGCACTTACCCATGGACGAAGACCCCGCCCGCAATTCTTCTCGCGACACTATCCGCGACATCCCTGGCGACGACGACGACGTGGTTGAAGTTACCAACACAGCTGAATCCAACCTCACGGACCTTCGCATCCTTGGCCTCGCCGTCACCGTTCGGGGTAACCAGCAGCTGGTCGAGCCCACCACTGTTTGTCAAGCTCTCAGTGGACTTGATGCTGAGAAGTGGAGAGCCGCCATGGCCGCAGAAGTCGCTGCACTCCAGCGACGTGGCACCTGGAAGCTGGTACCTCGACGACACACAAAGGGGAGGAAAATTCTTACGGAAAAATGGGTCTTCAGGATTAAAACTCTCGTGGATGGGACTATTGACAAATACAAGGCACGCTGGGTCGTTCGCGGATTCGAGCAGACTCAATTCGTGGACTACGATCAAACATTCGCACCTGTCGGTCGCCACACCTCTGTGCGGATTCTTCTCTGCATCGCCGCCGTGAAGCAGCGTCCCCTCCGCAAGATCGACGTCTCCAACGCTTTCCTCTACGCGATCGTCGACGCCATCATCTACGTTGAGCAGCCGCACGCCTTCGAGGAAGACGGCGACGCCATCTGCCTCCTCCAAAAGTCCCTGTATGGCATCAAGCAGGCACCACGTCTGTGGCAGCAGTACCTTCACACTGTGCTCATCGAGCTCGGCTTCCAGCAGCTCCCTCACGATCAGAGGATGTACCGCCTCGAATCCCGCGGTCACTTCATCCTGCTCGTCGCCTACGTGGATGATCTCCTCTACACCGGAGACGACACAGAACTACTCGATCGCTTCGAACGCGACATCTAGGCGAAGCTGGAAGTAACCATTGACCACGAGGTCACGCAATTCCTCGGCCTCAACGTCACCCAGACCGCCGACACAATCCACCTCTCTACCGCGAAATACGTCGAAACACTCGCTAAGAAGTTCGGCATCGCTCCCGTCGGCACTACCCCATTCCGCACTCCTCCGCCTAACCACGAGCCCGACACTACCCCGCTCTCACAGGCAGATCACCGCCTCTACCAGCAGCAGCTCGGGTGCCTATTGTTCGCCGCCGTCACATGCCGCCCGGACTTATCCTACATCGCCAGCCAGCTCGCCCAGTACCTGCGTCGACCTGAAGGGGAGAACCTGGCAGACTTGCGCCGCGCCTTACAGTACTTCATCTCTACGCCCGATGTCGGCCTCACCTACACAGCGAACCTAACGGCTACTCTACAGCTTACCGGCTATGTGGATGCGGATCACGCAGGGGACGCAGACAACAGGAGATCCCGCACAGGCTTTATTTTCAAACTTGAGCCTGCAGGAACTGTCTCCTGGAACTCACAGAAGCAGGAGCTCATCGCCCTCTCGTCAGCAGAAACAGAATTCATCGCAGCAAGCGCAGCAGTTCGCGAAGGTCTCTACCTCACGGAACTCCTACAGGAAACGAAGACGGCGATGAACGGGTCCTTCAAGTTACTCTGCGACAACCAGAGCGCGATCAAAATCGCAAGCAAACCAGGCTTCGTCAACCGCACGAAACACATCGCCCTGCTTTACTTCTTCGTCAAGGATGAAATCGACAAAGGGAAGGTCCAGCTCACCTACTACCCAAATAGCGAAATGGCAGCTGATTTTCTGACGAAGAAACTACCACGTCAGAAGTTCCAGTACTGCTCGGACCTGTGCGGAGTCGTTCGAAAGAGCCACGTGGCGCACCTCCAGGAATGAAGGGGAGTGTTGGAGTATGAAGGGAATTATACTTAGCATTCCTGTAGGTGCAGCAGTATCGCACCAGTCCTTATCGAAGCAGCAACAACCGCAGTATCGGATCGGCCCGTATCAAGGGCAGGAAGGTCAACAGTCGCAAGAGTCAACTGTCGCGACTGTTTACCATCTGGACCGACGTTTGACTTACCATCAAGGAATGGCAACAGGCGTAACCGTATGGACAAGTTACATGCAGCGACTCGGTAACAAGAAAGTAGTGCAACAGTCAGAGTCACTGTAGAAATGCCTGTAAAGCAGTTAGAATAAGGGAATGTACCCCTCAGAGTACATGGCTAGCTAGGAACTATTTATTATGTGTGTAATATTTGTTTTAATAAACTTTGTCATCTACATTCACTATGATCAGAGTTCCTACAACTAAGACTTCCGCTACCAAACTCTTCTAAGGCATTCCTATCCTATCCAAGGTCCTTACTCTAACATTAGGCTAGGCGCATGCGCCTTCATATGGAGCGTTGTGCCCAGGCCCTCGGATTTGTTTCGGGGGTGGCTTATTCGTCAGTGTTAACTTCATATACGTACACGTCATACAGCACTAAATGGGGGCAATGGACGGCTGGTTAATTCATTGCATGTTCTTATACTTGTTGCAGTAAGGATCTAGCCAATATTGTGTAACGTGAGTTCTTGTACTGTTGTTCCAGCCATTGACATCCAGCACCACGCAATCAGAACAGTGGAGGGTGCTGGCAACAGTAAACTCGGGCTCCCAAACGGCCTGGTAAGAAAACGGAAAACCACGGCGAAATGTGCTGCGAAAATGGAAATTCAAGGCGAAATGTGCTGCGATGGTAGGTTCTAGCGTAACAGACTCAAACTCGACTGTCGTAAAAAAGTCCCGATTTGGGAACTTTTGTCGTAAGTGCACCAACATCCGTCAATCTTCTCCGTCCACCACCGACGTCCGTCGGAAGATGGATGGACGTGGGTCAGGCACTTTGGACATGCCTTTACAGCATTCAGCATCAATTCGTTTTTGTCACTCACTCACGCTGGCCTGGCCGGGCACGTAATCAACCCCCACCAAAACAGGGCTGCTCAAACTATCCCTGCCAGCATTCTCTGTCTGATCTAGGATCCTCACCTCCTTAGGGCGGGTAATTTTCAGTTCGACTTTGCTACCCATCCCGACCAGTCTGAACATTGACCCGACCAATGGACAAAGTGTGACATCTCACTGAATCGCATGCATGCAAACGAACGAGAAAGACCCGCCCTTAACGTGCTTAGGTGTTTGTCCTCAGCTGTGACGCACCCGTTCCCCGTTCCGCGCACGTTAAAATCGCCTGCTTCCGCCGCGCGCCGCATGCGGTCGTCGCAGGCGCATCGCTTCTCCCCGGCCCGCCTGCCGCCGGGTGTGGCGAGGGCGCTGCTGTTGGCGGCGTGGGTGGCGGGATGGGTGGGGCTGTGCGCGTGGGTGGTGTGGTTCGCGCATTCGCAGGCCGCCAATCCGCGGCAGGAGGCGATGCGAGCGTGGTGTCGCACGCGCGTGCGATACCTCCAGCAGGACATCCGATCGTCCATCTCCCGCGCGCAGGTACGCGCGATAAGCCGGGAAAATTCTCCCCTCGCGTGTCCATTCGCGCGCGCGCAGGTGAGCCGGCGACCCGCCACTGGCGGAGAAAACGTTTCTACTAGTATGAGCCCATCTGACCGGCTGACAAACCTTAAACGAATCACATTTTAGCCTTTTATTCAGAATTCTCGGAGAACGCGGCGATTCACTCGCCCTAGCAGCAGTCGAACCGCGGCCCCTCGCCTTCCGCTTGCCCCCTCCTCCCCTTCCTCTCCCCCTTCCTTCGTGGTGACGTTTCCGTGTCCCCAGTAAAACCAAACGACCCAAACGAGTGTCTCAGAATGTGACGTCTGTGGACTTCCACACGGGTGCCTGAATATGTGACGGGTTTAGAGGCATTGCAACGCCTCTGAATGTCCCCCATTCAGGCCCAGGGGCCTAACGGGACGTCATACAGAAAATCGTGACAGCTGCCAGAGCCTGCTACTCTCCCACCTTAGGATTCGCCTGCCTGCATGCCTCCGACCCGCCCAACCACAATGGTCGTCGCTCGTGCGATTACCCCTTCGCCGTCCCTCCACCTCCATCTGCACTGATACTTAGAAGTCCCTCCACGCGCCTTCGCGTCATGCTGCTACCGTCTTTTCCTTCCCTCTTTCCACATCTCACTCGCGGTGCCATGCATGCGCTCGAACTTCCATCGCTCAGCCTTCCAGCCCTCAGTCTTCCATCGCTCACTCTTCCAGCTTAGCTTCAACTCTCAGTTGCCAAACCACATTCGAGAAGAGGACCTCTGCTACACTTACCCCATCCGCATGCACCGCAGTGCTCTTACCCCATGCGCATGCACCGCAGTGCTCTTACCCCATCCGCATGCACCGCAGTGCTCTTACCCCATCCGCATGCACGGCATTGCTCTTACCCCATGCGCATGCACCGCATTGCTCTTACCCCATCCGCAAGCACCGCATTGCTCTTACCCCATCCGCATGCACCGCATGCTCTTACCCCATCCGCAAGCACCGCATTGCTCTTACCCCATCCGCAAGCACCGCATTGCCCTTACCCCATCCGCATGCACCGCATTGCTCTTACCCCATGCGCATGCACCGCATTGCTCTTACCCCATCCGCATGCACCGCATGCTCTTACCCCATCCGCATGCACCGCATTGCTCTTACCCCATCCGCAAGCACCGCATTGCTCTTACCCCATCCGCATGCACCGCAGTGCTCTTACCCCATCCGCATGCACCGCAGTGCTCTTACCCCATCCGCATGCACCGCATTGCTCTTACCCCATCCGCAAGCACCGCATTGCTCTTACCCCATCCGCATGCACCGCAGTGCTCTGACCCCATCCGCGCATGCTCTGCACTTCGCTCACCCATTTATTTCTCGCTCCTCCCTCCCCACCCCACGCACCGCTCGCCGCCCTCCCTCTTGCAACCGATCTAGACATGAGCACAAGGGCGAACACCTGTTCGGTTCGCCTCGAACACGTTCGAGGCGAACCGAACAGGTTTATTTTTTTTGCTTAAAGTGTTCGCCAAACAGTGTTCGAGGTTCGCCCGAACACGTTCGTGTTCGGGCCGCTGCTGCAATTTGCCCCGCGACGAATACGAACGTGTTCGAGGTTCGCCCGAACACGCCTTCACAGGCGAACGGCGAACACCTGTTTTTGCTTCGCCGAACCGAACAGTGTTCGGTTCGGCAAACGGATGTGTTCGGGGCGAACACGAACATGTTCGTGTTCGCCCCTTGCTCATCCCTACCGATCCATTTTTTTCCCATACCCACTTTCCTCTGTCCCTCCGCCCCTCCGTCCCTCCATCCCTCCCGTGACCCATCTCACCTTATTATCTCTCTCTCCTCCCCCACCCCCTGAGTCCCAATGCCTACATCTCCCGTCTCCCATCTCTCGCGGCAGGAGTTGATTGGGCTGGTAACTGCCTGGGGGCACATGTGGGCGCGCCGCAGGAACAACATCCCCGCACCCCCTCCTCTCCCCCCCTCCCCCCCCCCCCCCCCCCCCCCCCCCCCCCCCCCCCCCCCTTTCCCTTTTTTCCCTTTCACCCCCTCCGTCCTGTCTCACATCTCTTGCTACAGGAGTCAATCGGGCTGGTAACTGCCTTGCGGGCACTTAGGACGGCGCTGCGACAGCAACATCCCCGCACGCCCAAACCCCCTCCCCCTTTCCTTCCCCCCCTCACCTCCCTCCCCCCTCTTCTCCTTCTGTCTCCCGCCTCATTCTGCAGGAGGCAATCGGGGTGGTACGGACCCTCGGTCACTTTGGCCCGCGCAGCAGCAGCAACCTGAGCTACTGGGGGCTGGCGGGGTGTGTGAATTACAACTCGATGATGGACTATAACCTCCAGGCGGATAAAATAGGCAACTTCAGCACAGGCACCATCCTCATGATCGTCACCCGCCAAGACAGGTCAGATGCTCCATGTTCAAGGGCTTTAATGCAAGCCTGTCAAGCGCAGTGCAGAAGCACAACCGCCAGGTGGGTGAGGACTGTCACCCACCAAGCCAGGTGAGGACTGCCACCCACCAAGCTAGGTGAGGACTGCCACCCACCAAGCCAGGTGAGGACTGCCACCCACCAAGCCAGGTGAGGACTGCCACCCACCAAGCTAGGTGAGGACTGCCACCCACCAAGCCAGGTGAGGACTGCCACCCACCAAGCCAGGTGAGGACTGCCACCCACCAAGCCAGGTGAGGACTGCCACCCACCAAGCCAGGTGAGGACTGCCACCCACCAAGCCAGGTGAGGACTGTCACCCACCAAGCCAAGTGAGGACTGCCACCCACCAAGCCAGGTGAGGACTGCCACCCACCAAGCTAGGTGAGGACTGCCACCCACCAAGCCAGGTGAGGACTGCCACCCACCAAGCCAGGTGAGGACTGCCACCCACCAAGCCAGGTGAGGACTGCCACCCACCAAGCCAGGTGAGGACTGTCACCCACCAAGCCAGGTGAGGACTGCCACCCACCAAGACAGGTGAGGACTGTCACCTACCAAGCCAGGTGAGGACTGCCACCCACCAAGACAGGTGAGGACTGCCACCCACCAAGCCAGGTGAGGACTGCCACCCACCCATCATGCAAGGTGAGGACTGCCACCCACCCATCAAGCCAGGTGAGGACTGCCACCCACCAATCCAGGTGAGGACTGTCACCCACCAAGCCAGGTGAGGACTGCCACCCACCAAGACAGGTGAGGACTGTCACCTACCAAGCCAGGTGAGGACTGCCACCCACCAAGCCAGGTGAGGACTGTCACCCACCAAGACAGGTGAGGACTGCCACCCACCCACCAAGCCAGGTGAGGACTGCCACCCACCAAGCCAGGTGAGGACTGTCACCCACCAAGCCAAGTGAGGACTGTCACCCACCAAGACCGGTGAGGACTGCCACCCACCAAGCCAGGTGAGGACTGCCACCCACCAAGCCAGGTGAGGACTGCCACCCACCCATCATGCAAGGTGAGGACTGCCACCCACCCATCAAGCCAGGTGAGGACTGCCACCCACCAATCCAGGTGAGGACTGTCACCCACCAAGCCAGGTGAGGACTGCCACCCACCAAGACAGGTGAGGACTGTCACCTACCAAGCCAGGTGAGGACTGCCACCCACCAAGCCAGGTGAGGACTGCCACCCACCAAGACAGGTGAGGACTGCCACCCACCAAGCCAGGTGAGGACTGTCACCCACCAAGCCAGGTGAGGACTGCCACCCACCAAGCCAGGTGAGGACTGTCACCCACCAAGACCGGTGAGGACTGCCACCCACCAAGCCAGGTGAGGACTGCCACCCACCAAGCCAGGTGAGGACTGCCACCCACCAAGCCAGGTGAGGACTGTCACCCACCAAGACCGGTGAGGACTGCCACCCACCAAGCCAGGTGAGGACTGTCACCCACCAAGCCAGGTGAGGACTGCCACCCACCAAGCAAGGTGAGGACTGTCACCCACCAAGACCGGTGAGGACTGCTACCCACCAAGCCAGGTGAGGACTGCCACCCACCAAGACAGGTGAGGACTGCCACCCACCAAGCCAGGTGAGGACTGTCACCCACCAAGCCAGGTGAGGACTGCCACCCACCATGCCAGGTGAGGACTGTCACCCACCAAGACCGGTGAGGACTGCCACCCACCATGCCAGGTGAGGACTGCCACCCACCAAGCCAGGTGAGGACTGCCACCCACCATGCCAGGTGAGGACTGCCACCCACCATGCCAGGTGAGGACTGCCACCCACCAAGCCAGGTGAGGACTGTCACCCACCAAGCCAGGTGAGGACTGCCACCCACCAAGCCAGGTGAGGATGTCAACGGGAGTTGTGGTTGGCCCCGTCCTCGCTTGGGCGGAGCCGACTTCGTAGTCGGGTGTGTGGGGAGCGCAGCCGATCTGTTGCAGTGAGGGCGCCGAGCTGGAGGGCGCCTAGCAGGAGGACGCCGACCTGGGCGCCTGGACGGCGTCCTGGGAGGCTGGACGCCGACCTGGGCGCCTGGACGGCGTCCTGGGAGGCTGGACGCCGACCTGGGCGCCTGGACGGCGTCCTGGGAGGCTGGACGCCGACCTGGGCGCCTGGACGGCGTCCTGGGAGGCTGGACGCCGACCTGGGCGCCTGGACGGCGTCATGGGAGGCTGGACGCCGACCTAGGCATCTGGACGGCGTCCTGGGCGCCTGGACGCCGACCTGGGGCGTCTGGACGGCGCCCTGGGTGCCTGGACGTCGACCTGGGCGTCTGCACGGTGTCCTGAGCACCTGGACGCCGACCTAGGCGTCAGGGACGCCGACCTGGGTGCTGGGACACCTCTTCTAGGGACGCCGGTCAGGTGTAGCCGGCGACCAACTGAGCTGGGCGACCAAGCGTGGTTGCCCGGTCAACCTGGATACCCGGGCGACGTGTGTGAAGGTCGCCGGGGAGGCTTTTGCGAGGCCGACCTCGGAAGTGGTATCCCGAGGTCGACGTGGCTGATAGGCGCATCCACTGGCGTGGACTCGACCTGGACGTCTGCGCTGTGCACGTGACAAGGAGTGGTGCACCAACCAGCTGCACGCACCTACGAAGCAGGTGCACCGTTGTCCTGCGGGTGCAACGCTGTGCAGCCGACTTGCTGCAGCGTTGGCACACCATGGACTTGCAACGTTGGCAAACCGCTACTCTGCAACGCTGGAGCGGTGCGAGCTCTGTTGCACTGGATCGCGGTCGACCATGCTGCGCTGGAGGTCGACCAGCAACCTAGCTAGCTCTGATGTAGTCTGTGTTGCCAATGTTGTATCAATCATTGTTGTCAACTTTCTCTAGTAAAACTCTTCCCAAATTTCCCCGTGAACTAGCAAGCAATGTGTGCACTAGGAAAACGACTAAGGAACAACGAAAGCAGAGATCACACGAGCACCCGTGCCTAGCCCGCAACCTAGCTCCCGTTGCTAAAGTTATCTCCGCAGAGGACTGCCACCCACCAAGCCAGGTGAGGACTGTCACCCACCAAGCCAGGTGAGGACTGCCACCCACCAAGCCAGGTGAGGACTGCACCCACCAAGCCAGGTGAGGACTGTCACCCACCAAGACAGGTGAGGACTGCCACCCACCAAGCCAGGTGAGGACTGCCACCCACCAAGCCAGGTGAGGACTGCCACCCACCAAGCCAGGTGAGGACTGTCACCCACCAAGACAGGTGAGGACTGCCACCCACCAAGACAGGTGAGGACTGCCACCCACCCACCAAGCCAGGTGAGGACTGCCACCCACCAAGCCAGGTGAGGACTGTCACCCACCAAGACAGGTGAGGACTGCCACCCACCAAGCCAGGTGAGGACTGCCACCCACCAAGACAGGTGAGGACTGCCACCCACCAAGCCAGGTGAGGACTGCCACCCACCAAGCCAGGTGAGGACTGTCACCCACCAAGACAGGTGAGGACTGCCACCCACCAAGCCAGGTGAGGACTGCCACCCACCAAGCCAGGTGAGGACTGCCACCCACCAAGCCAGGTGAGGACTGCCACCCACCAAGACAGGTGAGGACTGCCACCCACCAAGCCAGGTGAGGACTGCCACCCACCAAGCCAGGTGAGGACTGCCACCCACCAAGCCAGGTGAGGACTGCCACCCACCAAGACAGGTGAGGACTGCCACCCACCCACCAAGCCAGGTGAGGACTGCCACCCACCAAGCCAGGTGAGGACTGCCACCCACCAAGCCAGGTCAGATCCATGGGTTCCAATCCAACCCAACCCATGCCTGTTAAGTACCACCAGCTGGGGTCCCAATCGTAGCCCCGGTCATTTCATGTGTTTGATTTGAAGTAGTGTGTTTGAGACGTCTCAAAACACTAGTTCAAACACCAAGTACCACCTGCTGGGGTCCCAATCGTAGCCCCGGTCATTTCATGCCTTCAGCACGGGCAGGCACCATCATCATGATCATATTCACTGCCGTGCCGACCAAGGCAGGTTATATCCACACAGATTTCACTGCTCCTCTCCTCCCCTCCCTGCAGGCCCCGGTGGAGAGTATCATAGGGCATACAATCCAGTCAGTGCTGGGCCTTGTCCCGGGCCGTTTGCTCAACGCGCCTACCTCTTTCAATGCAGCTGTGGCAGTGGGCTCGTTGCTTCGCACTGGCACTGCTCCCCTTCTCCCCTCCCTGCAGGCGTGGAGAGCATCTAAGTTGGAATATACGCTTAGAGCATCATAGGGCATCCAATCCAGTCAGTGCTGGGCCTGCCCGCCCCACGGAAGCATTCAATGGAGTGAACGTGAATGGCAGCGCAGCATCTACACCACCTTTCCCTGCTCCTCTCCTCCCCGCCCTGCACTCCAGGCCACTAGTGGAGAGCATAATAGGCCATACAATCCAGTCCGTGCTGGGCCTGCCCGCCCCAAAGAAGGATCTGTACGGAGTGAACGTGTTTGGCAGCATCAACCCCGAATTTCCAGTGCAGCCCTTCACCGACTTCTTTCCTCTCGTCCCCCCGGTTCTCCGCACCAATCTGCTGAGAGGGCAGACTGTCGCGGGCGCTCCTCTCTCCACTGGACCTGGATACGTGGCAATCGGGTTCGTGCGCTCCTCTTTCCTCCCGTGCCCCTACCTCTCTTGATGTTTCACGCGTCATTCCCATCTCGTCTTATGTTTGCGAAAGTGTGGTTTGCAATAGGAGATTATCGCTGATCTTGCGAATTCCATTCTTCATTCTTCACCCCTTCATGAAATAGTATTTCTTGCACTTGCCTTCTACTGGCGATCCATGATTAAGCCTCCATTCGGTATTTTGGGACCACAACAGTTGGCTATTTTGGAGAATTCTCAAAAATGCCCTGCAACACCATGGTTAAGCCTCCAATCGGTATTGGGACCACAACACTAGGCAGGGTTCTTCAAGAAGGATGCTACTAGGTGTGACTTTTGAGAATTCTCAAAAGCTCTTCAAGAGGATGCTACTAGGTCTCATTGACCATGTGCTTTGCAATGTGGGCCAGCCAGACTGCTCCAATGCCCTTCTTCTCTGCACTCTGTCTGTCGCCACATGTCGTCTGATCCTAAGCTACTGTGGACGCTGAAATTGCCCTTCTTCTCTATCAACCTGACCTGACCGTGCATTCTGTCTATCGCCACATGTCGTCTGATCAAGTCAGCCAGGGCGCAGGCCTTTGATAACACAACTTGGGCACATCTCTACGCTTTTGAAAGAAGGGAAGGGACCCTTCATCAAACCGTTCGAGATTCACTTTTGAGAATTCTCAAAAGGGACTCCCAAATTTGTGGGAAACGCTTCTGAAAGAAGGGAAGGGACCCTTTATCAAACCGTTCAGTACGCCCTTCCTCCCTCTCCTGCCGGCTTTCCTTGCAGTGTTTATTGTTCCCATCTTCCGCCATCCGCTGCCAGCCGGTGCGTCTGTGGAGCAAATCCGGCGCAGCATAAGCAGTGCGTGGGCCGGCGTGGTGCATCTTGAAATGATGGCCCGGCAGCTATTGCACATGCTTGAAAATGGTGAGTTCTTGAGGCACGAGCAACGGGTCGGCCCGGGTCGGGTCAGTGTGATTGCCCGTCAGCCATTAGACTAGGCGAGCTGCAGCTTAGGAGAATTCTTTAGCAGAAGAACGACAGTAGAGTTGAACTCTTTGTTGTCAGTGCAATGACCCGACCTGACCGTGGGATGGGGTATTTATTCGGCCCGGGTCGGTTCAGTGTGATTGCCCGTCAGCCATTAGACTAGGCGAGCTGCAGCTTAGGAGAATTCTTTAGCAGAAGAACGACAGTAGAGTTGAACTCTTTGTTGTCAGTGCAATGACCCAACCTGGCCGTGTCGAGGGATGGGTATTTATTCGGCTCGGGTCGGGTCCGTTCGATGGCCTGTCCGACTCCCGACCGTGTCGAGGGATGGGAGGGATGGGTATTTGGCTCGGGTCGGGTCAGTGGGAATGGGAAGGCCCGACCGACCGTGTCGAGGGATGGGTTATTTGGCTCGCGTAGGGTCGACCCAAGACCCAACTGGCCCTTGTTTGTCAGGTCTTTTTGACCATGCTGGTGGGATCGATCGACCCGCGACCCGACTTTTGAGTTACCTCGGACACGTTCTGGTAGCTGGGTGGGTGGGCTAGCATGGTGATCGGGGGGTTTGGGGTACGGCTATGGGCTGAAGGCTAGCGCTAGGGTTGGGTCCAATTTGCCTATATCAAATGTATGGTATGAAAACCTTTCTTCTTGCTGAGCATGCTTGTAATTCTGAATCCCACATTGACTTGCGCGCTCCATTCTATCCATTCTCTCCTCCAGGGAGCAGCACACACTCATTTGCCATGTATGACAACACTGAAACAGGCGTGCTGAGGCAAATCTACGGTCCAGAGGAGCCACGATTGGAAAGCGGTTCTGCCTTCCCCTTTGTGCTGCCGCCGCCTGTGGTTGTGCCTCCCGAGCATGTGGAGCCGTTCCCTGAGGACATGATGGGACGGACGTTTGAAGCACACTGCGGGTATGTAGTATGTAGTATGTACGTGCCACACCACACATGAGCGGGTCTGTGTTCGCCTAGGTGCTGGTGCTGCCAGCACCTGCGGTTGTGCCTCCCGAGCATGTGGAGCCTTTTCCTGAGGACATGATGGGACGCACATTCGAAGCACACTGTGGGTATGTATGCATTGTTGTGCCTGTGGGTGCTGCCCACGTGGGTGCTGCCCACGTGGGTGCTGCCCACGTCCATGGATGTGCCTCCCGAGCATGTGGAGCCTTTCCCTGAGGACATGATGGGACGGACATTTGAAGCACACTGCGGGTATGAATACAGTCGCGGGTTGCAAACATGAGTAGGGATGTACGCATGAGTAGGCATGAGCAGAACTTCAGTGTCGAAATCCAAAACGCTCATTTTTTCCCGAAAATCCTCCTATGGTAATGGTTAACGACATTCTGAAGAACAAAGTGAATGGTGCGTTGTCTTACCTTCTGTCTTTTCAATGTGTAAGTATCTGGTTCCCCTTCCTGCTTGGGACCTCGTGTATGATCCCATGCTGCTGGGCCTGCTGGTGCTGCTAATGTCTCATAACATGAAATCTGTCTCCTTCACTTCACATAAATGCCCAAATGCCAATGTGCAGGTTTGAGGGCCCCTACCCCAAGTGGGACCTCGTGTATGCTCCCATGCTGCTGGGCTTGCTGGTGTTGCTGGTGGCAGTGCTGCTGTCCACCGTGATTGCAGTGTTGGTTCGGAAGAAGAGGAGTTTAGAAGCGGATGTGAAGGAGATTCAGCTGTGCACGGTCATCTTGGAGAGAGCTGAGCGGTCCAAGAGTGAGGCGGTGGCCAGCACGTCGCATGAGCTGCGCACCCCAATCATTGGCATGATGGGTGAGTGAGGGCATGGCATGATGGATGGGAGCATGGCATGATGGGTGAGTGAGGGCATGGCATGATGGGTGAGTGAGCATGGCATGATGGGTGCGAGCGTCGCATGATGGGTGAGAGCATGCATACATGCATTACACCAAAAGTTACGCAATGCCCTTTTATTTCCAGGTGTTTCTACACACAATGTGCATGCAATCATTTGCCGTGAAATCCTCCTTTCGGGTTGTGCCTCTTGCCCACCGGCAGGCATGATCGAGGAATTATTGGATTCGCCATTAGAGGAGTGGCAGCAGGAGGACCTGCGGGTGGCGAGGGCGTGTGCGGGCGAGACAGTGGAGCTAATCAACCGAGTGTTGGACCTCGCCAAGCTGCAGGCCGGCAGGCTGCAGCTCGAGACTCTCCCCTGCTGCTTGCGCCGCATCGTTCAGGAGGCGACTGCAACTGTTGAACCGGGGAAGAATCTGCAAGGTATGAGTGTGCGATTAGGTCGCTCTTCTCCCGGCTTTCTAAACTTCGTATGTATCGTGGTTTCAGTTTTTATTCTTCGTTTCTTTGTTTCTTTGATTGTTTGTTAAATACAGTGACAGTCCACGTTGATGAAAGTGTTCCAGAAACTTTGATCGGTGATCCAAGTCGCCTCTTGCAAGTCATGGCTGAACTTGTCGGTGAGTCAACAAAAGAGGGTGAGAGGGTGTGTTTGCCACAAGAGAGAGGGTGCGTAAACCAATCAGTTTTCTTTTTTTCACACATAGTAATTTGGTCACCACATGTTTTGTTTTATGGGGTTGTGATTTGTTGTCGCACACGCAATATCAAGCTCTTGCTTTTGTTACGCGGCGGATGTACCTTCGTTGTGTAGTTTTGTATCGGCATGTAAAGGTATGTAGAATCTCAAAAAGAGCGTGTTTAGAAACCAACCAACCTAAAGAAAAGGGAGAACGTGGGAGAGTGGATTGAGATGGGAATTGCTCTTTTAGCATCCCACCACTTCATGGAGGAGCGACTGGTAAGGGCCTGAGTCAATCCCACAACTCCATGGAGGCTCTTTGCTCTTTTGCTCTTTTGGTAATCCACGATAAGGGCCTGTGATGACTTCGGTGGTGCATTTCTATTTATGAAGGAAGGTGTGCAGGACAAGGGGTCTCTGTGCTGTGGAGGGGGGAGGAGAAGATTAAACAAAGGGCAACACGAGGGGGATGCGAAGGGGCTCATAGTTGGGGGGGCAGTTCGGACGAGTCGAGAAATGGTTGTGAGAGGAGGAGACCAGGCAATGATGCTATGGTCTAGTGCCCCGGCGGTGGGTTTTGTTTGTGCCCCATATTCTGGTAACCCAACGTGATTTGATAGTTGGCATTAAGCTGCTATTCTTCCACGCATTCCATTGCAGATGATCCCCTCCTGTGCCTCTTCCCCCCTTCCACCTTCCCCCCCACAACCCCCCCTGCCCCCCCCACCACGCCCTTCCCTCATGCAGCCAGTGCCATGAACAACACGGCAGCCGGCCACATAGCCATCCGCCTCTGGTGCATCCCTCCTCCACATGCCGCCAGCTCGCCACCTGCTTCAGCCGCTGCTTCCACAGGCGCCACGCAAGCCTCCTCTGAGCCTCCCCCAGAGTCCTCAGGATATCCCCAGCTGGCTGGCTGTGTGCAGCGCTTCCCGCCGCCTACACGACTGCTCTGCCTTCCTCAGCGGCAACTAGCCAGCCAGGGGGGGCCTGTGGGCAATGGGGGGGGCAGGTGTGCAGCAGAGACGACATGGGCAGTGCTGAGGAAAGGCAGGGCGGGGATGGGGCGGTTGGAGGAGGAGGTGAGGGAGTGGGTGGAAGGGGCGTGTGCAGTGAGGGCGGATGGCGAGTGGATGGTGGTGGTGGCCTGTGAAGACACGGGTGGTGGTATACCACCCGAGCAGCTGTGGGGGTTGCTAGACCCACATGGCCTTGCTTGCCACTCGCCGCATGACATGCACGGCAACGGGCAGCATAAAGTCATGGTCAGTGCCTGGTTTCTTTCTTCACACCTGCATTGTTGTACAAATCGAATTGTTGTTAGCAACCTGATGACTTTGAGGTCGACTCAAATGTTGCCTGGTTTCTTTCTTCAGACCTGCGTTGTTGCACAAACCAAATTGTTGTTAGCAATCTGATTATATACTGAAGTAAGTTAGATGTGATTAGGCAGTCGGTTCTCCCTCCGTTCACCACCATGCACCGCCGGTCCGCTCCGGTCCGCTATATATATCTGGCTCTCGTGGCCATGGCGAGACCTTTAACTGTCGCTCGAATTTTTATTTGCGAATCCTTGGAAACTGACACAGGAGAGAATACGGTCCGCTGGGGAGGGCGGACTCACGGAAGGGCTTGGGGAGGTTGGGCATCGTTGAGGCAGCGGGATCGCAGCGTGTGGATCCGTTGCAGCGCGACCGCAAGGCAGCTGCTGGCCCCCGTTGGACGCCCTACCCTGTTCGCGTTCCATGCTCCACCTCCCTTGTGAGCTTCCTGCTCTCCACCTCCCTGTGAGCTTCCTGCTCTCCACCTCCCTTGTGAGCTTCCTGCTCTCCACCTCCCTTGTGAGCTTCCTGCTCTCCACCTCCCTTGTGAGCTTCCTGCTCTCCACCTCCCTTGTGAGCTTCCTGCTCTCCACCTCCCTTGTGAGCTTCCTGCTCTCCACCTCCCTTGTGAGCTTCCTGCTCTCCACCTCCCTTGTGAGCTTCCCTGCTCTCCACCTTCCCCTTGTGAGCGCCCCAGCCTGCCCTCGGTTTCCCCTTTGAGCACCCTGCCATGTTAGTAAGCCTGTGAACAAATAATTCAGTGTTTACATTATATTCGGTAGACAGAGCAATTGGCGCCAAGGCTAGGAATATTCACCTCGAACTGATTGGCCTCATCCGAGTCCAGGAATCTTTAGGATGATAGGAAATGTGGAATCTTTAGGAGTCAAGGAAAAAAATAGCTGAACGGTTGACAGAATCGTGCATGTAGAGTAATAAGGAAGTGTTGTGAAGGGTAAAACCTAAGCTCGTTCTAGGAAAAAACTAGATGTTCACCTTAGAAGGAGCATGGAGGTTCGTATTCGATTTGGATTCGCATTCAACCTAGTCAGATAGGTATTTGGCACCACTCGCAAATCGATTGAAAGGTGGTGTTCTCGGAATCGCTTCCTGCTCTACCTATCAGGTGCCATTCTCGTACATCCCTTCTACACACGTTTGTTGTAATCAACTTCCCTCTTCTCTGATATACCTTCCTTCAGACTATCCCCCACAACCGCTTCCCCTGCCTTCCCTCCCTCCCCCCCCCACCCCCACCTCTCCTTCTCCCTGCATGGCAGGTGGCGGAGATGCGGGGGGGCATGGCAGTGCTGTCAGACGCCTCCACAGGCACCACCATTCTGCTGGCGCTACCCCTGGGGGGAGGGGAGGACGCCGGCAGCAGAGAAGGGAAGGAGGGGAAGGGGGAAGTTGGGAAGTCAGGGGGGGCTGTGGGAGCGCGTGTGGGGCGAGAGAGCGGACCGCGGGTAGGCACGGAGGGGCCAGCTAGTGCTGTCACGGCGCAGCCAGCAGCACCACAGAAGCTGCAGGCGCGAGCGCTGGCTCATGCGCACACGTTTCCGCAAGCGGGGGTGGAGCGGGCCGGGCCGGGCGTGGAGGGCGTGGGAGGGGCAGAGGGGGTGGTGCGGGGGGTGGTGGCGGGGCGGCGGGTGGCGGTGGTGGATGACAACGCGGTGAACCGCATGGTGGCGCGCAGAACGCTGCAGGGCTACGGGGCGCACGTGCTGCTGCTGTGCTCCGGGGAGGAGGCGCTGCAAGCGCTCTCCTCTGCCACGCCCTCCCCGCCCATCCACCTGCTGCTCCTCGACCTCCACATGCCGCCCGGCATTGACGGGTCCGTGCCTTGCCCGACCCTCTCCACCTCTCCGTTACTTCTCCTAGACCTCTCTTTAACCTCTCCGTTAATTCTCCTAAACCTCTCTGTAACCTCTCCGTTACTTCTCCTAAACCTCTCTTTAACCTCTCCTTTACCTCTCCTTCACCTCCTTTCACCTTTCCTTCACCTCCTTCGTGATGCAATGCAACCTCTCTGCATCATGGTAGTGATGCAGTATATGGTTTTGTTGCGATTTCTGATCGCCGCTTGCCATCTTCTCTTGTCTTGAGCATGTCTCGCCGGTTGCTTCATGGATTATTGCCTTCTGTGCGTTTCTGTGCGCGCTTGTTTTTCCTCTCCGGCCCCTCCCTTGTGTTGCCACCCATTGCATGCTTCCAGATTTGAAACGGCTCGTCGAGTGCGTGCCATGGAAAATGCACAGCATATGAAAGTGGAAACAGGTGCAACAGAGATATGCAAAGTAGCCGATACGAGTGTAGATGATGCAACAAAGCAGCGGCTTTGCATTATAGCATTGACTGCTGGCTTAGATGCAGGGATCAAGAGAGCATGCTTAGAGGCGGGGATGGATGGAGCAGTGAGGAAGCCAATAGTGGCTCAGGAACTAGCTGTGGCTCTCTCTGCTGCAGGGTTAGAACAACTCTCGATAGGTTAACTTACAATAATGTATCATGTTGAGTATAAAAAACTAAGTTAACTTTGTGACACTTTGTGACACTAAGGGACACAAAGTGTACCCTGCAGCAGAGTACATTCCTCTATCGACACAAGTGTCTCAAATCACTTTGTGACACCCAAAAACAACATAGGTACGGTAAACTGTATTGTGTCCCAAATGCGAGTCGCCTTTCAGCGACCATTACTGTATTTTTCTCTGGTCAGCTTGAAACGCGCTGACGTCGAAATGCCTGACACGACAACATGCACCTGGACACCCCGCAATGCCAATTTCGCGAGGGAAAAAATCCCGCGCATCGAAACCACACCCCTGCCCGGCGGTTGAAGAAACGGGTGTACACATCTTGTGTCACCCAATCAAATGCGCACAACTGTACATTTCGCATGGTCGCCTACAGGCCGTATGATATCATGAATTTTACCCTGAAATTCCTGAATTTCAGGGAGGTTTAGTGTACCTACACTGATCTTTCAGTGTTCAATTTTTTGTGGTACTGATTTTTCAGGCTTACTTAGCCAGATCACTCTGAATTTTCAGGAAAAAAAAAAATGGGGACACACTGATTCCCGTTGTAACGAAACTGAAACTGAATACGATTCCTAACCGTTTCGAGTGGATTTGCCCGGAAGTACAGGGAATCTCAGATTCCCGCGTTGTCAGCACCGCCTGGCGGTGAAAACCACACAAATTTGCCCCGTGTTATTCACTTTGAGGGCTGTTTTGTTGGTGCGACTGGGCAGATCATTGGCCAGTTTTGCTGCATCATATGGGTCGGCCAATCAGAAGGTTGCAACACAGCGATGCTGGCAAGCTGCGATGCGAGGGTTCTGTCCCGTTGCTTGCACCTGTGGCGCGTTTTGTCTATGTCGTGTTGGCAAGCACTGATGCTCCCTCCCATGATGGGTTGCATCCACGCCGCCCAGCCGTGCTACCAGCCATCCAGGCATGCATTCTGCTCCATCCTTTCCATCCGTGGGGTTTCCTCGCGTTCCTGCCTTGTGTACCAAGAGGCAGTCAGCCGTGTCGAGTGTTATGCCCTCCGCAAACCTCTTCTTAGCTTAGCTCGTTCAATAGCGCTGCAAGCTATGCCGGACCCCCAGACGGCATGGCAGTTAATGTCGACCAAGGCGATGATGCGCATCGTCGCCCGACTGTTGATTTTTCCGCTGCTGTGACCAGCCTGGATCTGCTTCTCTCTAGCCTAGCGCAAGTCGACAACCTTGGAGATGCACCTGCAATCGCGCCGCCCGGATTTTGTCTGTTCGAACCCATTGATAATGAGGGGTTGTGTGCATCCCCTACAGCGCCAGTGATTGAGCAGGACAGCTCCTCGCCTTCTGTTGAAAAACACCGGCGGTACCCGTGGCAAAGAAAAATGCCAGATACACGCAATCGACGCTGCCATGGTGCACCAAGGGCGGTAACGATGGAGCTAATCCCCCTTCACTAGCCGACCAATGGTCGTCGCCCGTGATCACAGGGACGCAGGTGTCGCCTTCCGTTCCCGGGCCTTCAAAACCGGCTGGCCCTGACGCGATTTACGCGGAGGCTCTGTACAAGTACAAAAGCGAGTGGCTGGAGAGGTTTTCGTGGCTTGTTTTGCTGAAAACTACTGACGGTCTCCCTGCTTTCAAATGTACAATCTGTACGGAGCACGCAGGATACGCAGGACCGTGCGGGAGAGGCGAGAAGGGCGCCACAGACATGCAGACGCAGGCGTTCAAACGACATGCAGCAACAAGCAAGCACAAGGATGCGATCAATAGTCAGGAAAAGCTACTATCGGAAGCATCTAGGCAGCCGCGGATCAACGGCAACAATCTCGCTCGCGACACCGAGAAGGAACGTGTCACCAAGCTGCTCAACTCCCTCCTCTTTGTCACCAAGCAAGATGCACCCATAGAGCTATGGGTGAATCTTGTTCGCTACTCTCGCGGTGCTGAAAGTTCCAGGGTTCCCTTCGAAAGGATATGGAACCTATTACACTACTTGAGTAACAGGTTCCTAAACTTGTAACATGTGGGTGTGTTTCGGGACTGTTAATCTCTGACTTATTCGTGTGGTGTGTGCTGTTTGTGTGTGTGTCTGAGTGTG